CAGGGGTGCCGCCGGGGTGGCTGTAGGAGGATCGCTTCGCAACAGCCGCGGCGATTTTCTTCCTCGAAGCCGGAGTATTTACATTTTAACCTTGTAAATGGCAGTGTGTGAACAGATCCCCGCCCGGCGGCCCGCTGACCAGAGCTGCAGAGGCCTGGCGGCAGGCCGGAGCCGGGCAGCTGAAGCTCCTTTGCATTAAAATCAGAGTCATAACAACAACAAGTTAGTACATCGTTTTAATAAATATATTTCCTGTAAACACACGAATAAGTGCTTCCCAGTGCACCCCCACAATTCAGGTGTTCGTTTTCCATACAACTTGGTCAATGTTTTAAGCTAGTTATCATAATTAGGTGTGTAACGCTTAAATATTTGTAGCTCAGAAGATGAGGTGGATGTGCTCTTACACGGCACTCCTGACCAGAAGCGGAAGCTGATACGGGAGTGCCTGACCGGGGAGAGCGAGTCTTCTAGTGAGGATGAGTTCCAAAAGGAGATGGAAGCGGAACTGAGCACCACCATGAGGACTATGGAAGGCAAATGGAAATCGCTGGAAATGGGTAAATCTCACTTAACATTTGCTTGCATATGAAATCATGAATTAAGTGGTGTCCAGTTAAGGTGTGAAGTTGATGTGCTAGTCTTGTGGCTAGAGGTGGGTGTGGTGACAGTCGAGTGCCATTTGAAGCTTACAGGAAATCTTAAAATGGCTGATCGCTTCTGCAGAAGTGGTCACCAGGTGCCACTCCAGTGAACACCTCTTACATCTTTTCTAGGACTTTGATTTTGGTGTTTGTGAACTTCTGATTTTCTGCTTTAATAAGATTTCTTTTTGTTGGATCACTCTCCTTTTTTCCAATTTCTCTATAATTTCTGGTTTAAGTTGCTTTTTCACATGTATTTAGAAGTCTCTTGAGCAGGTTGTGGTCTCTTGTACTTTGGTGGCTCTGGATGCTATCAACATTTGGATCCCTTTCTTGACGAAAGGAGTAGCATATGGTAGATTGAGATCCCAAGTCAGCTGGGGGGAAGGGTCAGGAAAAATACTAATCTCTTCTTCCGTTACCTGCAATGACATGTTACATCAAATAGTAAAACTGTACTAAAGATATATGTGTTTATGTACTATGGGTGCAAGAGATGGATTGCTTTGGCATTTGAAGAACGTCTTTTTACCTATTACAAAACACCTAGTGAAGTGTTCTTAATTTCCTGGAGAATCAACATAGTATTCACTTTAATGTAGGGACCTGCATTCAGCAGGTTTAATAGTTTTGTGTGTGTTAGTGGGCAAATCTGGTCTGAAGGTTTTAGTTGCTCAATTAAGAAGATGTAGTGATAGTTATACCACCACATCTGTCCAGCACAGAATAGGATTTTTGGTGCAGACTGGCTATGACAGATGTGCTTGGCAATTCATCTGGGTCTTTTTTGAACCTCTGTGGCCCTGAAATTTTAGGGGATTTTTACAGTGAATTTTATTGTAACCAAAGCTTGTGAAACAATGTGCCACACCTGTATCTCTTTTGCCTGACTGAAGATTTATGGGGTGCTTGAGACTGTGTGGATTACACAGGGCAGACGCAGGCATATTTGATGTGGTGTCCTCTATGCCTAAAGGGAGTGTACCTTGGGAGAAACTTTCATTTGAATTGTACCCGAGGTTCATCTCAGAGTGAGCAGCTTTGCTGCTAAAAAGTAAATTCAGAGAAGATGAAATAACACAAGCAGTGTGGATGATCAGGATGTGGGAATGCATTGGGAGAGCTGTTACTTAACACACCCAAATAAAGCCAGAGCACTTCTGGATAGAGTAACTTGAAAATGAAGGTTTGTTCTGGGCTGTATACTTGCTGTCCTTTTGGTGGGGTGTTCTTACCACTTCTCTAATTTCACACATAGGTACTTCCTCGAGTGCTGGGCAGACTGGACCTGCCACCACTTCAAAATACTATGATGACATTTACTTCGATTCTGATTCAGAGGATGAAGATAAAATAGGTAAGTGGCTGAGGAGAAAGAGAGGAGGACATCTTTACAGTAGCATTCTGTCTCTCAGATCCTGTAGAATCCTCTTAGGGGGTCAAGGGGCTGTTCCTGAAGGTGGCTTTTGGGGGGAATTACCAGCCTATATCAGCTTAATATAGTCCCCACAGCTTTGTGATGCATCCTAATGTATATAAGGTGCATTAATGCTTTGGAGTAGTGCATTTGGAGGAGAGATGAACTAGACCTTTATGTTTTAGTTTGGATTTATTGCAATTGTGGAAAAGGAAAACTGAAAAACTGATGTTTTGATTATTTAAGCAGAGAATCATCATATGTCTGGTGGATATGACATGTGCTTGCACAAATCTTTCCAGTTACACAGGAGGTCCGGAAAAACAGAAAACATCAGCAACGTCGGATTCTTTCCAATGATGAACTGCTGTATGACCCAGAAGAAGACAGCCGAGACCAAGAGTGGGTAGACTCACAGAGGAGGGGGTAAGAGACCATAAATATTTGAATTGTAGGATGCTTAACACAAAGTGAAAAATTTAAATGAAAATGGTGAATATAGAGAAAAAGCCTATGCTGTCAAGTCTATTTTTTTTTTTTTTTTTTTTTTTTTTAGAATTTGCAGCGTAGAAATGTAAAAGCCTGTAAAATTTTAATGTGTATGTAATGGAATTTGAGTCTTCAAAATGACACAATTCTAAAACTTGCAAATTTTTAAATCAAAACTTCCTAGTTCGGTAAGCCAGTTTTGTCTGTAGATCTCATCTAAACAACCACATTGTGGATGAAAAGGTTGTAAGATTTGCTAATTTCCATTTTTAATGCCATATGATACTTTGATTGCTAAACTAATATCTGTTCCTGCTAAATACTGTATTTATGGTTTTGGAAAACTTTGAATTTAGCAAGCCACAAAATGTTCAGATAAAATAGGAATGGAACAAAGCTGCTTTACTGAGAGTTTTTTGATGGGTGAAGTAGAAAAATGGTTGCTGCAGCAGAAGTAAAATTCTCCATGTAAATCTGTTGAAAAGGATAACATTAATGTATGTATGCAGAGATTGCACTTGAGATGGCTGCCTCATCAGAGGAGTGGGTTATTAGGCACAAATTCTCATGCTAGATGTATTTGCTTCACCAAATAAGAATCCTCTGTACAAAGTAAATGAAGATACTGGTATGTGTTCCCCCCCCCCCCGCAGTGTATTTACTTATGTGCTTTGAGATAGTGAAAAAGGTGTCCAGAATGAGTCAGATATTTATTGGTATATTTTAATATAAAAAAGGTTTGGAGGTTGAATTGATACATCTGACAACAACAGCATGTAGTTTCACTTTTTGTCTCTTCTTTCTTGAATTGCTAGGTACCGTAATCAAAGAGTGCCGCAGCAGCCAAAACTTTCAGCTGTTCCCAATAGTGATGCTGTTTTGAACTGCCCTGCTTGCATGACGACATTATGCCTGGACTGTCAGAGGTAATTGGTGAACAACAAGGGGTCTTTTTTTTTTGTTGTTGTTCAGTTGTATTTTTAGTGCATTCAGTTAGATCAATTGATTTGATCATCTGTCTTGCGAGGTGGAGCTAATAGAAGGCAGGTAAGTGTGAATCAGATTTAGGGGTCAATGCTAGTTTGTAAGAATGATGATCAGCTTAACCAGCAACATGGAGATGAGGAAGAACAGGGTAGAACTTTAGCATAGTGGAGAAGGTAAACCATAAAAAAAGCCATTTCACTGAGACTAATCAAGAAGTTCAGAGTAAGGTGTGGGGGATGCTGCTTTTGGGTTTTTGTGAAAAACATGTTGGCTTGATATCGAGACATAGAATTATTCCAGGTTAACTATTATCTTTGTATGAAAGTGCCTTGTTTAGGGGAGAATCAAGTAAAATCAAGATAGTATATTGTTACTTGGTTTGAGTCTTAGCAGTTGTGATTTTGATTATAGTTATATTAAAAAGTGCCTGAAAAGCATTTAGGTGAGAATCTGTAGCATGTTTTGCAGCTCTGCAGTACCTGACTGCACTGCAGACCTAATTAGTACTGCTAACCCGTGCTAAGGAGAGGACTCTTCAACTGGGAATAAAGGAGAAAGAAATCTTGTGAAATGAGCAATAAACTACCTCTTGTTTACTGAGTACTTTCAGTGATTCAGGATGAAATTCCACAGCAGCCTAAAATTATCGAAGTACTGGGTGCTGTTTCTCACTCTTTTGCCATGGCTGGCTATGGTATTCCTTGACCCTGTTCTGTAGTTGAGTATTTCAGTTTGCTAAGGTGATGGAAAACTGTTCATTTTTATTGTCAGACTGGTCTTTTCTGGGTTTAATAAACTGAAATAGCTCAGCACAGAATTATACAAGCAGTAAAGCCAGCAGAAGTCGAGATAGGACTTCTGCAGCCACCTGTTATGTTGGTTTAGGCTGCTGTAAAACTGCAGCCTGAGGGACGCTGTGTTGAATTGAATTGAACTGCAGCCCTGAATTTTGCTACGTATTCCAGTTATGCAGTTGTTATACTGATGACAGCTGAAAATACATTTTGTATTTTATTATAGACATGCTTTTTTTCAAGTGTAATGTGTCAATGTTTGTTATTTATAAATAAGGAATTTCAGGCTTTCAAGAGAGTTTAGGATATAAATTCCAGTATTTGAGTCGTTTGCACTTGCAACTTCATGATCTTTTGCCTGTCATCAGCTATATGTAGCAGTGCTTAATTCTCTAGTACCAATACCATTGTACTCTGGGGGGTTTATTTCAGCAAGAACCAGCATGTTTTTAAAAAACACCTTAAAACCAAGACAGATAGCTACAATTCTATTTTTTATGATTTTTGTAGTTGTGACTTTTTTTCTGTTTATAAAACTTTGTATTTATTTGGCTTTCAGCCCTTTGGCATGGTACTTCCTATCTTTAATCCCATTTCCAGTGACGATAACCAATTTCTTGGAAGCAGAGTTTTACCAATGGTATGACTTGCATTTTCTCCCCTTCTCTTTAGACATGAATCTTACAAAACACAATATAGAGCAATGTTTGTGATGAACTGCGTTGTTAACAAAGAGGAAATTCTGAAATACAGAAAGAAGCTAAAGAAAAGAAATAAGAAGATGAAGCACAGCAAAGAAACTACCTGTATAGAATCAAATCAAGAAGAGGAGGAAGTGTATCATCCAGTATTGTGTACTGAATGCTCAACTGAAGTGGCAGTAATGGATAAAGATGAAGTTTTTCACTTCTTCAATGTTCTAGCCAGCCACTGCTAATGTGCAAAAGCAGGGGAAAAAAATCCTGCACTGTTTGAGACTGTGTGAAGTGTCAGAAATGTAGGCATGTTAGCCTTTTTTAAATTTGGTCTTTTAAGTGTACATTTTCATCAGAGAACGTTATAACAGTTGGATTTTTGCAAAGTTTACGAAGGGAATACAGTTAACTGCGTGCATTTGAGAGCAGTATTCTTTCACACTGTCAGGTGGTTGCATCATTAAGGATTTAAAATTTTGTAAATATAATGTAAGATGTGTGTATTACGACCATTCCCTGTATATATACTGTCTGTCTATTATCTCAATATGTATTGGAACTGCTGCTTAGAATAAACACTGTGTAGTAACTGGTTCTCCATAGCTGCATTGGTCATTTATGTGGCACATGGTAAACAACTCTCAGTCGAGATGTTGGGCTTCTTTAGGCTGGTGTTCTTGGTAACATGTACACAGGTGGATTTGATAAAGAAGGAATTGTCATTATATTTGGATTTTTGGCCCCTTCAGATCTCAAAAATGGAAAATTTTATTTATACAGAGTGGAAGATTAGCTTATATCAAGTTTGCTGCCATGGATCATTTAAATCAACATATTAATGCTTAGTAATACAGTTAAATATGTATATGAAGAAAATACTGGATTTTTTTTCTATTGTCCTTTTTCCTTGACACATCTTAAGAAGAAATCTATGGTCAGATCTATGACCGTAGAACTGGTTTGCATGCTTTTTCTGTTTCTGTAGTAGATACACAGCTTCTTTATGGAAGCACAAAGAGCTTCTGCTACTTGGTATTTAGACTTCTTGCTTAGTCTATGAAGCCATTGCAATGTTAACAATGGATCCTTCCCTTTCCTCCGGGTGTGTTCCCGAGAGGTGAGCTCTTGGCTTTTGTTAGTGAGTAACATCACCTCTTTATAGCCTGATATTTTTGAACATTTCACTTGGAACAAGGTTCTGTCTAAAAAAAGCATAATTGTATCTTTATGCTTTTAATAGTACTAGGAATAATTTGTTTTATGTGCTTTGAGGAATTGTCAGAAATAAATATTTCTGATTTAAGTTTAGGAGACAGGAACCTGAAGAACATACTTCTTTTGTACCTTAGATTATAAGAAAATCTTGTGACACTTCAGTTACCTTTTGTAGTCCCTGGTGCTGTATTTTACTAATTACACACACTTGTTCTACATAGTGTTACATGAGATTAGGAAGAAAAAAATCCATTGGTTCTTCTGTCAGGATTACACGAGGAGAACACTGACATCCTATTTTCAAGTCAGCAGAAACTTAACCTCTGCTTGATGAAGCAGAGAACTGTCAAGGCAGCTGATGAACGCTTGCTGGCTGGTATGGTACACCTTCCTCTGCATGTGCGACCTACGGTCAAAATTGAGGCGTGGGATCTGCCTGAGATAAGGTCTCAGTCTCGTCTTTCCTACCTATAGTCAGACTGATTAGCGGAGTGTCTGACTTGCATATTGATAGCTATGGGATCATCTAACGTGGCACAAACTGTTAAGGTGTGCCATAAGGAGACTTACATGGGAAATTTTGAATGTACAAAGAACTTCTTGGTAGAAGCGTGGAGGAGCGGATGTGATAGAGGATGTAGTCTGTGCTGTAGGGCATGCCGGCCTCGATGTAGCTGTCTTCGCATTCCAGGTGAAACGCAAAGGCTCTGCGTAGCGCCAGGTTAAGGATCTTTGCGCTGAGCTACTGGAAACACGAGCATGCGGGAACGTAGTTCAAGGGCTCAAGTGTAGATGTGGGTGGTAGCAGGTGGAACAATAGGTGATGGCAGTTCCTAAGCAGGGGTAGAAGAGCTGGCGAAGGAGGGGAAACTATACAGAGGAATATTGTCAATTTTCTTAAGGGGCTAACTAGCAAAAAAATCTCTTGTTGAGTCTGCACCATACTGAAAAGGTGTAAGCGGCCTGGGCACCACCTGGGGCAGATGTAGCAGGAGATTTTGAAGTTGGTGTGCCTCAATGTTACCTTTCTTCTCATCTCAGGTACTTTCTTGCTGCTGCTTCTTGCTTGCCTTATCACTTGAATTGCAGAGCTGCTTCTTGGGAAGCACTGGAGCAGGCAGGACTGGGACTCGTTTGCCTCATGTTGATACTGTTCTTGCAGCTTTGAATGGGAGTGAGTAATGCTGTAGTTGCAACGAATACCTCACCTGTCCTTGAACTTTGTACGTGTTTATATAGAAAGGAAGCTTTCGTGATCACCACCACTTTTTCAAGCAGCAACACCAACAAAAGGCTCCTCCAGCAGCAGCTGCAACAAGCAATGGCAGTCTTGGATGGGGACAACAGCTCCTCTAGCCAGTTGTGTGGGGGTATTAATCCTGTGAGCCAGTTGTGTGGGGGTATTAATCATGTGAATGCTCATGCTTCTTCTTGTACTGAAATAAATCTGCATAGATAAAGTACATCTAAATGTCTTCTGGTTGAATTAAATCCCTTTCAGATTCTGCCCCACAAGCTAGTACAATATTCAGTTTTCTTTGCCAGCTGCTTTTCTTTCTCACAGTTATCTCCTGGCACTGTACCTGTATTTTGCAGCTGTGTAAATAACTCTGATGTGCATCCTCCTGTGACTGTATTCCCTTGTTTTTCATTGTACTAATAGCACAGGTGAAGGTAGGAGCAGGGTGGCTGCAAGAACAGAATCACACCGCTCAGTGACATAACTGCAAATTGATTCACTAAGCAGGGTGACTATGGTGCGTCGATACCACTGCCTGCTCCGCAGTGTGCACACTTGGCGTGTGAGGTCCTGGCGGGTACCCAGTGGTGGCACCTCATGCTCCACTTCCTCACCGCCCCTGATTACCACCTACGTCCCCTTCCAGCAGACTTTTAACTATTGCCTTCTAGAGTGCCAACGGTGCCAACCATAAGGTGCCAACGGCCTTTCTAATCATCCGGTCCCAGGCCAATCTGGGAATTTCTCCTTGTCTTAGGCCAATTAGCACTCAGGGCAGGGGTGCCCCACACCCTCTGGTTTCTGGCCCCAAGGGCCTTAGGGAAAGGCAAAGCTAGCAACAGTTACAGTAAACAGCTGATTTATTGACTCTGCATTCTTCCTATTCATACAGGGTTAATCTAGTCAGAGTTGGCTGATAAGGTCTTGATCATCTGAGCCATGTTTTTGGGTGGGCTTTCCCTCCGACAGCTGGAGACACCGAAGGCTCCCACGGAGCACATCTTTGACCGCATCTCCCGTGGGCCCTGCCCAGCGCAATCTTTGGGTCTTCCGTAATTCCCAGAACGTCAACTTAAAGAGGATGAGCGAAAATAGGCTGCAGCACCATCTCCTAGGTATGGCTCGGATGGGCAGGTTCATGGTCAGCCATGTAATTAAACCAGACAGGACACACACTGGCACGCACCGCTAGGTCGTAACGTTCCGCGGGGTATGACGGTACGGGTGTGCTGCTGCGTGTCCCTGCC